TAATAGCTTGACCTGCAGGGTCAATGATAAGCGGGTAGCGCAAGAACCTCTTGAGAATGATTGCGTTCTGCACAGAGAGGTCGTCGGGAGGCAGAGAATGCGCGGCCCACTGAAGTCGTTCCGAAGGAGTTGAGAGGAAATCAACAAATGAAAGATCGATGCGGCATCGAATACATTCCCTCTCCAGCACTGCCCTCCACTCTTCCAGCAGCCGGTGTCGATCAGCGTATTCAAAGAACCCCAAATATGCGCAGAAAGCAGCGGCAAGTAAACTGTCGCCAATGAAGGTCTCAGTTGCGAGTTTAAGCTGCTCCAACTGCTCAAACCAGCGGTTCTTCTCAGACCCGAGATTCTCTAGCAGTGACATCGAACGTGCGCACTTCTTCTGAACCTCTTCCATCTCGTGCTTTATGCTCTGTACCTGACTAATCAGTTGAGCATAGTCCTGCTTATACTGCTGCAACTTGCCCTCCAGCTGGGTGATAAGCGACTGTTGCTCCTGTAGATTCGCCTCATTCTCCTGCGCCTCTGTTTCTAGCTGCGCGATTTCAGTCTGTAGCGGCTCCACCTGCTCACTAATCAACACAAACTTCACGCTGCTCTCCACCCACTGAGCCAACGGGCCTGCAGCACGAGACGCCTTGTTGATCCTCTCAATATCCCAATCGCCCGTCAAGAACTTCGTCTGAATCCTACGCCGAGTTGCCGGGCTGACGGATGCGCAATCGAAGTTCAGAATCTAAACAAACAAACAAACAGATACAAAAATCTAGATACTAGAGTTTGCGTTGCTGANTCGAAGTTCAGAATCTAAACAAACAAACAAACAGATACAAAAATCTAGATACTAGAGTTTGCGTTGCTGATGGCGATGCCCACACATGTTACGCTAAAATAAGCACTAACTGCGTGGGAAGCACCGACTGCAGGAAAAGGCTCTCACTATATCGCCCCAGAATACACATTTACTAAGTTAAACACCTGGTTAATTTCAGCATGAGTACCCGTTGTATGCAATTAGTTGATGATATGAATTTTATTAAGAAGAAATATATTTACATATATATATATATATATATATATATATATATATATATATAATACCAAAATGACCTAGTAAATATTGTGTGCAACGTGAAGCTTGAACTTGCCTTTGAAATGAAGTCTGAAGCCTTCAAAATCTTTCTCGCGTCTTCCCAGGAGACGGCCTTTTCCCCTGCATCTGTGATGAGAACGGCGACGGCCTCCACAGCAACTTTAGCCATGGCTGGAGGGTTGGCCATACTTTTGAGTTCATCAAGACTCTTCTTTGGAATATTTGTAACTGCCTCTGCAGCTTCTCTCAGTAGCGGCTCAACTTCACTCAGCTGCGCCTCTACAACTGCTCTGCGTTCCTTAATGATGCCTGTCTGTTCGTCTAGCTTGCGTGCAAGAACCTCTGCTCCCTTCTTTTTGTCTTCTGCTTCTGCTTGCTGGTTAATCATCTGCTGCATCTTCTTCTCAGCTTCTTCGTTTTTCTCTGCAAGCACTGCACCTTTCTCCGTAAGCTCAGTACGCATCTCTCCAACCTGTCGTTCCACTTGCGCGAGAGTTTGCAGGCCAGCCTGCAGGTGGTGCTGTT